ATACAGACACACATAGACAAGCTGATCGAATATACTGACAAATGGCAGATCAAAATCAATCCGCAAAAGACGGAGGCAATTTTATTTACAAAGAGCCGAAATGCCATGACTAGACTGACTGACTTGGATAAAATTAAAGTATTGGACTGTGAAGTTGAGTGGTCGAAGGATGTCAAATATCTTGGTGTGACCCTGGACCATAGACTCAGCTTCACAAAACATATTAATACAAAAATTGGACAGGCTTACGGGATGTTGAATCTACTGAGACCTCTCTTGAACCAGAACAGCCCGCTAAGCGTGAAGAACAAGCGAACACTTTACTTGATACTAATACGACCGATACTGACATACGCCGCTCCGGCATGGAACGCGGCGACTAAGACTAACTTACGAAAACTACAGACATTACAAAATAAGACACTACGACTCGTACTTAACAAAATAAGGGACCCACTGACTAGACATTACTACTCTTCAAAATACATACACAAACAGACTGACTTACCAACCATACTAGACTTTATAAAAAAGCTCACTGAGAATTTTTATCTAAAATGTGGGGATCATTCTAATGTTAACATCGCGGGCCTCGGCCAATACACGAGAGACGATATTTGGTATGGCAATCACGCCATGCCAAAATATATACTGATCGACCCATAGCGGTAAATGAAACTTGGCTCGACGCAAATATTCTCCCTTAAAGTGAATAAATCTTTTATTTTGTTTTTCTCCTTTTTGAGTTATTATGTGTTATTATAAATAGTGCTAAGTGATTTTTTTTGGGGAATAAATTTCCTTTCCTCTTTTTTGTCACACAAATATGAATTTATTTATATATTCTGAATCAATTATTGTTTGCAAAACCAAATTCAATGAAGGATACAATACCTACGGGTAAAAAACCCATGTTATAAAATGCAATGTACATACTTTTATATACTGAAATATATGGTCTTTGAATTGAATTGAATATAAGGAAAATGCTATTAAAAATTTCGGTCGCGCTTCAAATTGTTTTCGAGGAAAACGCATTTTAATATGTAACCAGGAGCGATTGGTTTTTAGCGAATATCTCGGGCGCGGTTGGAGTTATTATAAAAATTTTTGCACCTGCAGATACATATTTTAAATGCGCATATTTCATTCATACACACCATGACCCTATGTTGAACATTTTCCGAGATATAGGCGTTTAACTATTTCAAACCTAAAAATTTGAAACCGTTTTTGGCGCATATCTCGCGAACGGTAAGAGGTATCTTGAAACTTTTTATACTGGGTTAAAGATCTTTTGATTTAGAATATTTCGCCTAAGAACATCAATATCCTATGATGAATCGTTCAAAAGTTATGAGCGCTTAAAGATTTCATGGGTAAAGAATGCTCAAAAATGGATGAAAAATTTGTTAGTTTTTTTTATTTTTCACAGACTTCCCGGGCACGTAGAAGTTCTAATTAAACGTCAGGCGAATCGTCTTGTGGGCTAGAATAACGCGGAAAAAACTGCATTTTAATATTCTCAACGGTTGCCGAATAAATAAGAGAAAACTGAAATTATAGCATAACCCTATGGTTACGTATTGTATTCCGATTTTGGATAAAAATTTTTTGTTTCCGATTTTGATGATTTTTATAATGTTGATACCTTATGATATAAGGAAAATGCTATTGAAAAATTTCGGTCGCACTTCAAATAGTTTTCGAGGAAGACGCATTTTTAATATGTGACCAGGAGCGATTGGTTTTTAGCGAATATCTCGGGAACGGTTGGAGTTATCATAAAAATTTTTGCACCTGCAGATACATATTTTAAATGCGCATATTTCATTCACACACACCATGACTCTATGTTGAATATTTTCCGAGATATAGGCGTTTAACAATTTCAAACTTAAAGATTTGAAACCGTTTTTGGCGTATATCTGGCGAACGGTAAGAGGTATCTTAAAACTTTTTATACTGGGTTATGAGCGCTTAAATATTTCATGAGTAAAAAATGCTCAAAAATGGACGAAAAATTTGTTAGTTTTTTTGATTTTTCACAGACTTCGCGGGCACGTAGAAGCTTCGGTCGCACTTCAAATAGTTTTCGAGGAAAACGCATTTTTAATATGTGAGCAGGAGCGATTGGTTTTTAGCGAATATCTCGGGAACGGTTGGAGTTATCATAAAAATTTTTGCACCTGCAGATACATATTTTAAATGCGCATATTTCATTTATACACACCATGACCTATGTTGAATATTTTCCGAGATGTAGGCGTTAACTATTTCAACTTAAAAATTTGAAAACCGTTTTGGCGTATATCTCGCGAACGGTAAGAGGTACCTTAAAACTTTTTATACTGGGTTAAAGATCTTTTGATTTAGAATATTTCGCCTAAGAAACATCAATATCCTATGATGAATCGTTCAAAAGTTATGAGCGCTTAAAGATTTCATGGGTAAAAAATGCTCAAAAATGGATGAAAAATTTGTTAGTTTTTTTAAATTTTTCACAGACTTCCCGGGCACGTAGAAGTTCTAATTAAAACGTCAGGCGAATTGTCTTGTGGGCTAGAATAACGCGAAAAAACTGCATTTAATATTCTCAACGGTTGCCGATTAAATAAGAGAAAACTGAAATTATAGCATAACCCTATGGTTACGTATTGTATTCCGATTTGGATAAAAATTTTTTGTTTCCGATTTTGATGATTTTTTATTGTTGATACCTTTTGATATAGGAAAATGCTATTGAAAAATTTCGGTCGCACTTCAAATAGTTTTCGAGGAAAACGTATTTTTAATATGTGACCAGGAGCGATTGGTTTTTAGCGAATTCTCGGGAACGGTTGGAGTTATCATAAAAATTCTTGCACCTGCAGATACATAGTTTAAATGCGCATATTTCGTTCATATACACATGACCCTGTATTGGATTTTTCCGAGATATAGGCGTTTTAAACTATTTAAAACTAAAAACATTTGAACCGGTTTTTGGCGTATATTTTCGGCAACTGTAAGGGTATCTTAAAACCTTTTATACTGGGTTAATAATATTTGATTTAGAATATTTCGCCTGAAAACATCAATATCCTATGATGAATCGTTCAAAAGTTATGAGCGCTTAAAAATTTCATGCGTAAAAAATGCTCAAAAATGGACGAAAAATTTGTTAGTTTTTTTAATTTTTCACAGACTTTCGGGGACGTAGAAGCTTCAATTAAACGTCAGGCGAATTGTCTTGTGGGCTAGAATAACGCGAAAAAAACTGCATTTTAAAATTCTCAACGGTTGCCGAATAAATAAGAAAAAACTGAAATTATAGCATAACCCTATGGTTACGTATTGTATTCCGATTTTGGATAAAAATTTTTTGTTTCCGATTTTGATGATTTTTATAATGTTGATACATTATGATATAAGGAAAATGCTATTGAAAAATTTCGGTCGCACTTCAATAGTTTTCGAGGAAAACGCATTTTAATATGTGACCAGGAGCGATTGGTTTTTAGCGAATATCTCGGGAACGGTTGGAGTTATCATAAAAATTTTTGCCCTGCAGATACATATTTTAAATGCGCATATTTCGTTTATACACACCCATGACCCTATGTTGGATATTTTCCGAGATATAGCATTTAACTATTTCAAACTTAAAAATTTGAAACCGTTTTTG